ATAACTTTCTAATGCGTTCGTTAATTCATCTCCGACGTTGATTTTTTCCACCGTGCCAAACTGCATATCGCGCTGTGCAGCGATGACACTGCAGTCCTGTGTTCTTCGTGTGTTTACTCACTCGCGTGTTTAACTATCACGGCAATCACATTCCCACAGCTGTCCCCTCTCTCACCTTATCTCACCTGTCGCGGCAGAGCACGCGTGCTTTCCTGCATAGTAACGACGACAAGGGCATGTCAGGCGTTCGATATCACACTGTGGATTAACTTTAAGTTCTTTCATAAGTGGATTGCAAAGATGACATAAGATAAAGATGTTGCTGTTGTTTAAAACTCGTGCGCGCGNGCACACACACACACACACACACACACACACACACACACACACACACACACACAAATATATATATAGAGAGAGAGGGGGGAAGAGCAAGAGAGAGAGAGGGCGAGAGGCGGATAAATAGAATAAAGTAAGGTGTTTAGTTCCGGTTGATGGTGATATCATCAGCTTTTAGTAGCGAGCGTATCAGCCTATCACGAACATCCGCGTCACTGCGCCTGAAACTGAGGCAGCATGACGGTACCTATATAAGCCCTGGCGGATCTCCTCGCCTCGCCATATACTGCGAAGGGGATCCTAGAGAGACAGAGAGCGATCTTGTGAGAAGATATTTCAGCAAAAACAACAGCAGCAGCAGCAGCAGGAGAAGAAGAAGAAGAAGAAGAAGAAGAAGAAGAAGAAGCAAACATAAACAGCAACAACAACAGCCAGCCAGCCAGCTAGTTAAGCCAACAGTCAGCTACGCAAACATACCAACAACTAGCAGCGAGCAGCAGCGGCACGCAGCAGTACCAACCCTCAGCCACCACGGAGCTGCGTGTTTGACCTTAGGCAGTTCTGGGCGGCCAACGGCAAGATCAGCTTCAGACACGGGAAATCACAATTAGGCGGAGGCACATTGGCTTGGCCTTTGCTCGTGGCTTCGCCTGTTTTCGTGGGCCTCATTGGTCGAGCCGTAGGTTTGAGCGAGTTGCCGCGAATTGGCACGCGGCGCTAAAATTAACGGGAGGACCTAGCAAATAAACATGAGATGCATGCGGTAGTCAAGGTATGATAGAGGGATAGGATAGATAATGAGAAATGATATAACAGAGGAATCAGGAAGAAGGATGGATGGATAAAGGATGGATAGATAAATGGATGGATGGATGTATGGATGGATTGAGTGGCATGTAGATGAATGGAATGGATGATTATCAAGATGGTCAATGTATAGTGGAATTGAGATGAGATAAAATCCTGGCAGTCGACTGGTATGCGTTATTGATCGAGAGGGAGAATGGAATATATGACGTACTTCGGGGAGTTTGAGTGGATGGATGAGATGGATGGATAGGATGGATGGACTGGAGATGGAATGGAATGGATGGAAGCACTTGGATGGATGGATAGCGAATGGATAGGACAGATGGACTGCAAGATGGAAATGGAGATTGGATGGAATATGGAAATGATGAGGATGGGAAAATTGGAATGGCATGAAAAGAATGGATGGATGGAATGTTATGGATGAGAATGGATGAGAATAGGATTGGATGCGATGAGATGGATAGGATGGATGGAAATGAGGATTGGAATGAGATGGATGGAAGTGGATGGATGGAATGGATGGATGAAGATCGAGATGAGAATATGGATGGAATGGATGGACATGGATGGACTTGGATGGATGAGATGGATGATGAGAATGGAAATGGAATGGATGAAGATGGATATGAGATGGCATGAGATGGATGGATGGAACTGGAATAGGATGCGATGGTTGGATGGCATGGATGGATGATGAGCATGGATTGGATGGCACGGAGATGGATGAAATAGAAATTGGAATGAATGAGAACTGCTTGGAATGAAGATGAAATGGGATGAGATGGACTGGAGAAGAGAATGAAAAATAGGATATGGAATGGAATGCATGAGATGCATAGGGATGGATGATTGGATGGAAGGGAATACAACTGGATGACCATGGAAATGAGATGGAGAATGGATAGATGATAGGATGGATGAGAATGGATGAAAAGGATGGATGGAGGATAGGATGAATAGGATGAGATTGAATGGATGGATGGACTGCATGGAATGGAATATGGATGGATGGATGGATGGATAAAGATGGAGATAATGGATGGAGTATGGAATGATGGATGAATGGAATAGATATAAATGTATGGATGGATGGAATGATGCATGGATGCATGCATGCGATAGAATGGAATGGATGAGATAGGATGGAATCGGATGGATGGATGGATGACAGGATGGATGGATGGATGAAATTGGATGGAATGGATGGAATGGAATGATGGAATGGAGTGAATAGATGGCTGGACTGGAGTAGAGAATAGATGGAAATGGCATGCATGGATAAGGATATGGACGAAGATGGATGCATGGATAGAATGGATGATAGATGGATGGATGGATAGCATGGATAATGGATGCAATGGATATGATGAAAGGAGGATGGTAGGGAATGGATAGATCGAGATTGGAGAAAATGAGAAGGGATGGTTATTGGATGAGACAAGTGGAATAGAATGATACAATATCTTGAGATAGATGTGATTTGGGGATTTGAGTATTTTTGATAGATACATATGGATGGGAGTGGAAGCACATGGATTGATGAATATGCAATTAATTGATTTGGGAACAATTATGGAGAGATCACGACTAAAATTAGGGTGGATTGAATGGCTCGATAATAGGATGCATTTGTGAGTCTGATGGATGGATGGATGGATGGGATGCTACGATAGATAAGGATAGATGACGGATAGATAGGATAGATAGATAGGATAGAGTAGATGGATGGCGTGGATGGGATAAATGGAGTAGATAGATAGATGGATGGCCTGGAATGGAGTGGATGGATGGATGAAATGGATGGATGATGGATTGATGAATGGGATGAATGCGATGGATGGATGGATCAGGATGAATGGATGGATTGGCTGAGATTGATTGCTGGATTCGGATGGGATAGATGGGAGGTGGATCGATGCGATGACGAGTTGAATGGATAGAAGACAATAGAAATTGATTTGCTGAATCACTGCAGCAGTAGAAGGTGAAGAGGCAAGAAGCGTGCTCACTCACGAGCTAGCACTGCAGCAGCTGCAAGCCGAGCTCCACGCGATGGTATATCACCTTACATGATGGTTAACTGTAACACACCTACATATATACACGCGCACGCACACACACGCGCGCGCACACACACACACCTACACATATACACGCACCACACACAGGCGCGCGCCAACACTACCCACGCCTACACATTACAGCGCCCCGCACACACACACTAGCGCGCCGGCACACACACAACCTACAATATAAGGGCGCATTCTAGTCTGCTTACAACAAATACGTGCTTATCGCTACTTTGAAGTTATTCGCTACTCGCCTTACGCTCGCACAAGAGGCAGTCTGACATCCTCCTTCAAGCGCGAAGCAAGCACGAAACAGAAACAGGTGTGAGAGAATACACACGAAGCAGTTATAACATTAGACGAACCTATTACGAATTAGTGTGTCTACACCAATCGGGATCTCTCCGACCGTGCCTCTACAAAAATCGTCTGTAACATGATACAATCCCATACACACATGTTACAATAGCGAGATGGTAACATATACACTCTCGCACGCACACACACACTGCGCGCACCACAACACCACACCTTACACATGATACCGCGCACCGCCACACAGCGCGCGCGCGCAACCACACACACCTTACATATCTATACCGCTCACGCACACACACACACAACACCGTACGACATTATACACGCGCACCGCACACACGCGCGCAAAGCACACACACCGTACACATATACCCGCGCACACAACGACCCTCATATTACACGCGCACGCACACCACCACACACCATACACATATCACGCGCCGTCACACACACCTACCAAATATACCGCGCACACACACACACTACATATATACACGTCACGCACACACACACACGCACACATAACATTACACATATACGCGCACGCAACACACGCGGCTGCACTGGACACACACAACACTACTATTTATACAACGCTCACGCACACACACACACCACACACCTACACATATACACTGCGACGCCACAACACGCGCGCACGCCACACACACCTACACATATACACAAGCAGAGCATGCACACAACACACACGCGCTGGCGCACACCACACCTACACACCACGCGTCTCGCGCGCACACGCACACACACACACGTGCGTGCGAAGGCCACACCACTACACACCACACACACACACACACACACACACACACACACACACACACACAGGACTGGTTATATACAAAATCCATGGAAGATTTCCCTAAATATATAGTTGATTTAGTCATTACTAACAAGACAGTTACATTGACCCTTCAACCACAACTTCATAAAAAAACGACTGCTCAAAAAACGACTGCTTAAAAATAGTCGACGAAAAATCGTGCTTTTTCGTCGTTTCAGAAATCGGACGCAAATGAAATGAAGACTCTACTATTGGCTGCTCTCCAAAATCGCAACGACGGCTACGAAGCACCGCCTCACAGCCGACGAAAGCGACGAGCAGACGAGAATGAAACATGGCCGCTGTCGCGGCTAGGGACCAACGCCACAGCCGTCGAGACGGCGGAATCGACGGTGGTGACATCTGGCGGCGTTACTCTCGGCGAAGAGATCGAGAACTTGCGACGTCGCGTCGACATGCTCGCCAGCGACGCGTGTGAGTTCGCGTGCGCGCCGCCTGAGGGCGCTGCTCATCGCTCGTTTTATTCGTTGGTGTATATTTAAATTTCTGGCGCCGTTTTAGACGCAACGTGTTTATATTACGCACGCTTAATTCTCCGCATTCATTCTGTTATGTGGCGATCAACTATACAACCAGTCCGATGCTATTCACTCAGCTAGCTACAGTATATGTAACTCTTTCTCTCTGCTAGGAGTTAATGTAACTCTTTCTCTCTGCTAGGAGTTAATGTAACTCTTTCTCTCCGCTAGTACTTGCTGGCAGTAAGAACGCGAGCAGCGGAGAAGGAGGAGCCGTGTACGTGAGGTGGGGTCGCACAAGCTGTCCAGAGACTGGAGCGGAACTTATCTATGATGGTATACTACACCTATACTCACTCACTCATCGTACCATCGTTCATAGTTATACAGAATTATCATCTATGATGGTATACTACACCTATACTCACTCACTCATCGTACCATCGTTCATAGTTATACAGAATTATAATCCTATGATGGTATACTACACCTATACTCACTCACTCATCGTACCATCGTTCATAGTTATACAGAATTATCATCTATGATGGTATACTACACCTATACTCACTCATCGTACACGTTCATAGTTATAGAATTATACATCTATGATGGTATACTACACCTAACTCACTCACTCATCGTACCATCGTTCATAGTTATACAGAATTATCATCTATGATGGTATACTACACCTATACTCACTCACTACATCGTACCATCGTTCATAGTTATACAAAATTATCATCTATGATGGTATACTACACCTATACTCACTCATCGTACCACGCGTTCATAGTTTATCAGAATTATCATCTATGATGTATACTACACCTATACTCACTCACTCATCGTACCATCGTTCATAGTTATACAGAATTATCAATCTATGATGGTATTACACCTATACTCACACGTCATGCGTACGCATCGTTCATAGTTTATACAAAGGTTATATCTATGATGGTATACTACACCTATACTCACTCACTCATCGTATCATCGTTCATAGTAATACAGAATTATCATCTATGATGGTATACTACACCTATACTCACTCACTCATCTTACCATCGTTCATAGTTATACAGAATTATCATCTATGATGGTATACTACACCTATACTCACTCATCGTACCATCGTTCATAGTTATACAGAATTATCATCTATGATGGTATACTACACCTATACTCACTCACTCATCGTACCATCGTTCATAGTTATACAGAATTATCATCTATGATGGTATACTACACCTATACTCACTCACTCATCGTACCATCGTTCATAGTTATACAGAATTATCATCTATGATGGTATACTACACCTATACTCACTCACTCATCGTACCATCGTTCATAGTTATACAGAATTATCATCTATGATGGTATACTACACCTATACTCACTCATCGTACCATCGTTCATAGTTGTACAGAATTATCATCTAT